TCCCTTCAATTTCCAGGTCTGAGAATCCCAGGAAAGATTGGGTGGCATTCCCACTCTTTGAATGAATATTTTGGCCCAGAGAGTGCAGTTTCTTTATTGGCTAAACCTGTGTGCCTCATGAGCTGCTTGGATCAGCCATTCCTATCATTTCAGCGTTCCAAACAGCAAATCATGAACCATTTGTGAAGTAGGATACTCAAGAGAACAGTTGAACAAAACGGAATAATTAAGAACAGTAATCTCAGAATCCTTCCACAGTGGCATATTGTTTATGAAAACTTTTAAGTTATTTGTATGCATGTGTATTTCTGAGTGTGATTTTGCTCATATAGTAAAACGGATTTCTTAATGTGTTGTAGGAAAAAAAAAGAAAAACTCAGTGTACTGCATTGAATATAAATTTGTGTATTTGAATTCTGTCAGTGCTGCTGCTTGTGTAACTCATTACTCACAGCAGCAAGGCAGTTTCCCCTGTTTTGCGTAACAGACTGCATTAGAGCATGATTGCTCACTTAACCCCTGGGCTCCTCATTTACCCATTTAGATAGTAATCAGATGTACTTATTTCCCCTTCTGGGCTTCAGCATCAAGCCTCATTTATCCTTGTTTCTCCTGATTTCATATGTCTTTAACCCCCCTTCTTCTCCCCAATTTTTCCATAGTCTGATTCCAGTGGAATATTACAATTCTTTTACTAAGTGTTTGGTATGGCTTTCTGAAATTATAAATGAAAAACTGCTATCAATCACCAAAAAGCACGATTTTATTTTACTTATTAAAATGGCTTCTCGTATAACAGTTTGCATGAACTGAGGATAAAAGATTAACACCAGCATTTTAAAAAATTCTTTTTTAATTTTTATTCTATTTTGGAGTGTAGTTGATTAACAAATGCTATGTTAGTTTTCGGTGTACAGCATAGTGATTGAGTTATACGTGTATCTATTCTTTTTCAAGTTCTTTTCCCATTTAGGTTATTACAGAATATTGAGCAGAGTTCCCTGTGACATACAGTAGGTCCTTGCTGGTTACCTATTTTAAATATAGCAGTGTGTATATGTCAGTCTCCAACTCCCAATCTATCCCTCTCCCCTACTCTCCCCCCTCTCCCCCCTCCCCCGTAACCATAACTTCATTCTCTAATTCTGTGAGTCTGTTTCTGTTTTGTAAATAAGTTCATTTATATCATTTTCTTCTGGATTTCACATGTAAGAGATATCATATGATGTTCGTCTTTCTCTGTCCTACTTACTGCACTTAGTATGATTATCTCCAGGTCCATCCATGTTGCTGCATATGGCATGATTTCATCTTTTTAATGGCTAATATTCCATTGTATATATGTACCACATCTTCTTTATCCATTCATCTGTTGATGGACATTTAGGTTGCCTCCATGTCTTGGCTATTGTGAATAGTGCTTCAGTGAACACTGGGGTGCATGTATCTTTTTGAATTATGGTTTCCTCCAGATATATGCCCAGGACTGGGATTGCTGGATCATACAGTAGCTCTATTTTTAGTTTTTTAAGGAACCTCCATACTGTTCTCCTTAGTGGCTGTATCAATTTACATTCCCACCAACAGTGTAGAATGTACTGTTGGTGGGAATGTAAACCAACCTTTTCTCCACACCCTCTCCAGCACTGATTATTTCTAGACTTTCTGATGATGGCCATTCTGACTGATGTAAGGTGATATCTCATTGTAGTTTTGATTTGTATTTCTCTAGTAATTAGCGATGTTGAGCATATTTGCATGTACCTCTTGGCCATCGGTATGTCTTCTTTGGAGAAATGTCTAGGTCTTCTCATTTTTTGCTTGGGTTGTTTGGGTTTTTGATATTGAGCAGCGTGAGCTGTTTGTAAATTATGGAGATTAATCCCTTGTCGGTCGTATTGTTTGCAAATATTTTCTCCCATTCTGTGGGTTGTTTCTTCGTTTTGTTTATGGTTTCCTTTGCTGTGCAAAAGCTTTTGAGTTTAATTGGGTCCCATTTATTTATGTTTTTATTTCCATTACTCTAGGAGGTGGATCAAAAAAGATATTGCTGCGATTTATGTCAAACAGTGTTCTGCCTATGTTTTCCTCTAAGTTCTTTAGTAATCCGGTCCTACATTTAAGGCCTTTAATCCATTTTGAGTTTATTTTTGTGTATGGTGTTAAAGACTGTTCTAATTTCAACACCAGCATTTTGAAGTAGCCATAATTAATATTACATTGAATATAAATGACTCATTGAAATGTTTTTTTTGAAACTTGGTCACAGCTCCTTTTCTGAAAGATGGCTCTGAAGAGAACTGTTGATTTCCAATATAATTATTTCCCAGTTAATTGTGAAGCATTACCCTGCAGGTGTTACTTGCACCTAATTTTATTTCCCTTTTGTTACAGCAGAATCCTTTTAATATTTCTAAATGATTTGTCTAACGTAGTCCAGAATAGTATTAAAATATGATAAAGGGCTTCCCTGGTGGCGCAGTGGTTGAGGGTCCGCCTGCCCATACAGTGGACAAGGGTTCGTGACCCGGTCCGGGAGGATCCCACATGCCGCGGAGCGGCTGGGCCCGTGAGCCATGGCCGCTGAGCCTGCGCGTCCGGAGCCTGTGCTCCGCAACGGGAGAGGCCACAACAGTGAGAGGCCCGCGTACCAAAAAAAAAAAAAAAAAAAAAAAAAGATAAAAAGTCTGCTAACAGTAACTACTATTATTCTACTAAGAAACAAAAACTATCCAACTAAACATACTAGCAAATGTTAAGCATCTTCTGAGTTTAACAAGACTATTTTTCCCTTCGGCTTTATAAAGTGAATTGTTTGCTTTCACTCAACATTGAAACAACCTCACATTCTTAGATCCCCATTTGTCATTGTTTGGTAATTTTTTAATGGGCTGCCAAAGTTAGTTCACATTTAATGGAGATTTATGGGTTATTTAAAACATATTGCACTGCACTTAGTAGCATGCTTTTTTCATTAAATTTTATATTTCTTCAAAAATATTTTTTCATAATCTGGACCACTTCCTTAGCTATAGATTTCTCTTTTCCTTAAATATCTAAGAGGATGGTAGCTCATCGACTTTTTTTCCCATTTATCTTAGTCCTCACTGCTTTCTAGGTTCAATTTAAGCAATTTATATTTTTCCGGAAACTCTTACATTTCATCAGTATTTTTAAATGTTTTTTTTAAACTATGTTTTTGTAATTTTAGAACACTTCGATTCTATATATAGGTTTGGGTATACGTTTATAGACAAGAGTAGTGTTCAAATTTTAACTTGGCAACTGTTTAAGGAATTTTTAAATTATAAACATGTAGATTTTTGTTTTGTGTTTGGAAATTTTTGATGCTTTCATTTTCGTACAAAAATTTTGTATTTGGCTGCTTTCTTATTTGTCAGTTGTCTCTGTGGGTGTTTACTCCTAGGCAGTGCTAAAAGATCAACAAAATATTTTGCTTCATTTTCAGTGGTTAAATCTGTTGAATTCAGTGCCTACTATTCCTGAATAATTTGGTGGTAGAAAGCTGCCTTGTCACATTACTTACCCACTCTAATACTGATAGTATTTTACCATTAAAATGGTACGTTTTGTTTGAGATTTATCCTACACACTATCAACCTGTTTGCTGTTTTTCATGTAATTAGCTGTCAAGTATGTCTTTTATCTTTTGGCTTAACATGTCATGCTTAGAGATTTCAGGATATGGAACCACCCTAGAACTCTTGGAAATCCCTTGCTAGAAAGCACTTGAGAGAACAAGCCGCGATGCATACTGACTTGCTAGCTGCTTGGCTGACATTCTGTTGACATGCTCTCCAAACATGAGTTAAGCCAAAAGCTGCAACTTCACAAGTCTTTCTTTGCTTTTAATCCACTCATTTAGTCTAACTTTATCCTCCCTAAAGATCATGCGTCTTAATTCTTTCTTGGGAATTGTGTTCATTGTCAGAACAATCCTAAACTTGCTTCTTTCCCCAAGGAGAATGGCATCTCCTCCAACCCCACCCCCATCCCGCCAGGAGCCCGCTAGGATGTTTGCTTTATCTACTCTGAAATGTAAAAAATTTACACCCAAGTTCACGAGTTTTGTTGGGAAAATTTTTATGAAGTTAAACTGTTTCAGGGGTGTCACCGGAGCTACATACTTTTCAGGGTCTAGAGATTAGCGTTAGTTGTGGTGAGTTCTTTTTTGGTACCAATTACTGCTCTGTAGTCTCTTTCTAAACCTAAGCTGTTTCTCAGTAATTGTGAGTGGCTTTGGTTTCAGCTTGGGGCTTTTCTCCTTTAGACATTCAAGTTACTCACTTGGCTTTGCAACTTGTGAAGTGTTACTTGCACTGAACCTTGTGGTGGTGGCTCTCGGTCTTCCTGGGCAGCAGCACTGCCTGAATGCTGGGTAGGACACCGCCCTGAGCGATGGTCACACCGCCCAGCAGCTTGTTGAGCTCTTCGTCATTACGGATGGCCAATTGCAGGTGACACGGGATCATGCGCATCTTCTTGTTGTCATGGGTCGCATTGCCCGCCAGCTCCAGGACCTCGGCCGTCAGGTACTCCAGCACCGCTGCCAGGTAAACCAGTGTGCCGGCCCCAATATGCTCGACGTAATTGCCCTTGCGGAGAAGGTGGTGGACTCGGCCCGCAGGGAACTGCAGGCCGGCTCTGTACGAACGAGATTTGGCCTTAGTACGTGCTTGCCACGTCCAGACATTACTGTGAGAATACTAATCTGTTATAACGGAAACAAATACCGTTAGGACAGGTACGGGGTCTATTTATAGTCTCACGGTGGGTTGTGATTTACTATTTGATTGGCTGATACCCTTATATCCAATCAGAGAACCATACTGGAATCACCTCATTTACATACACGTCACTATCCGTTATCCAATCAGATGTGAGCTGCCCAATACGTCATCTGAACTCCGCGCATATAAATATCACGCTTCAGCAGAACAACTGCTGCTGGTTTTCTGTTTTAAAACTGTAGGTTAGACATGCCGGAGCAGAGTTCTAAGAGCAGTGCTAGTTCCATGAAAGGCTATAAGAAAGCCGTGACTAAAACTCAGAAAAAGGAGGAGAAAAAGCGCAAGAGATATCGTAAAGAGAGCTATTCAGTTTATATCTATAAAGTACTGAAACAAGTTCATCCGGATACTGGTATATCTTCGAAGGCTATGAGTATTATGAATTCACTTGTTACTGATATGTTTGAGCGCATTGCAGCGGAGGCGTCCCGCCTGGTGCGTTACAACAAGTGTTCGACCGTCACATCCAGGGAGATCCAGACAGCAGTGCGCTTGCTGCTTCCTGGGGAGTTGGCCAAGCACGCAGTGTCCGAGGGCACGAAGGCTGTCAGTAAATACAGTAGTTCCAAGTAAAGAAATTCAGACTTTTGTAACCCAAAGGCTCTTTTAAGAGCCACTTAACTTTCTAGAGAGTTGTAGGCTTTTTACTTGGCTGCTCAGTGTGTGTGGACAGGCTTACTCTTAGAGTGAGCTATAGCTGTTATGCTAGTAACTGTCAGATTCACTTTGCTGCCTTTAGTGTGGTTAAGAAATACGTAGATAACTCGTCCGTCTCACGTGACTATTAAACAGAATGATTTCAGGTGAAATCCCGGATCTCTTAATCATATCAAAGAATAGAGCTCTCTTGAGTTGAACAGAGCTCCTTTAAGTCTGTCTTAAGAGAGGGTGGGTCGAGTGCCATGAGAAACGTGGCTTGCTCTTCTCTGGGTTATGTCCTGTTTTAAGTACTTTCTATCAAGAGACTGAAAGGGAACTGAAGCTGTGGAAAGACAAAGAACATAGGCAAGCTCAGCATGGGAGTGTTAAGGCTGTTTTGCTTCCGGTCTACATTTTCTGTAGTGTGTGAGAATTCTATAGATCAGGTTAGGTGCCCTACATCTGCTGAGATTTCGAGTCCAATAGTTCCTTGGTCTGGTGATGTCATCTGTACATTATTGGGGTGTCTAAACTAGGCTGTTTGTTAAAAACAGCTTGATATTGGGGAGTGGAGGTCTTGCCATACTGGAGTCACACAATCTGGCTAACCACAACTGACTGGCAAACAGAAGTAACGCTGACTGAATTTTTTGGGGGGCGTTACTTTTCTTCCAAGTTATAATAGGATCACTTGCATTTTGTTTTATGAGAAGATAATTAAATTGGTGTTTGTGTCCTATATTACTGGACTCCAATACTAACATGTTCCAAATTGGGTCATAGGGTGTTTATCAAGTCAAGGGACTTTGGGTGGAAGATCTACTCTGTCACGATCGTCTGGACTCTTAGCAGACAAGCATTAAAAAGTGACAAATGACACTGAAATTAACATTAAAAAAGATCAAGTTACTACTTCCCACAAACCAGTAGTTTAGCTGGACTCAATTCGTTAATTTATATTTTTCATTCTTCCCTTTTAATAACAAGATTTCGTGCTTATGTGTGTCTACCTTACAGTTAAAAAATACTTTAGTATCATTTGGTAGATATGTGTACTAAAACTCCACAGGAAAAAAAAAAAGTGCCCTACATTTCTGCACAGAAACAGACCCTACAAGAACCTCTGAATATCTTAACTGGGAATCATCCAAGGAGTTAACAGATGGGGCATCTGTGCCACATTGTCTGGGAGGGGAGGCATCATCTCCAAGCAGGGGTCCCAGCTGCCCCCATAAGATCTTGTGAAACAGCAGATGTCTGTATAGCTCCCAAATCCTTGTCAACTCTTGAGTTGAAAAGCAAGCAGTTTTTCCATGCTGGTTTTTGCCTTAGCAGTAGGTGTTTAGATTCACCCATTTTGTTATGTGAATTAAGAGCTTGTTCCTTTTAATGGTTGACTAGTATTCCATTGTATGCATAAACCACAGTTTGTCTATCCATTCATCTAACGAAGGGATCTTAGTTGCTTCCACTTTTTAGCTGTAGTTGTTATATAACTATTCACATGCAAGTTTTTGTGTGGACAGAAGTTTTCAAATCAGTTGGGTAAGTATTACCAGGAGCACAGCTGCTGGATGGTAGGCTCAACAGTACGTTTAGCTTTATAAGAAACTGTCAAACTGTCTTCGAAAGTGGCTGTGTCATTCTGCATTACTACCAACAATGAATGTGTTCCCGTTGCTCCATGTCCTCCTCAGCATTTGGTAATGTACAATATTTTGGATGTTATCCATTCTAATCGATGTTTAATATCTCATTGTTTTAATTTGCATTTTCCTAATAAATGACATTGAGGATCTTTTGGTATGCTAATTTACCATCTGTAAATTTTTTTTTTTTTTTTTCTGTACGCGGGCCTCTCACTGTTGCGGCCTCTCCCGTTGCGGAGCACAGGCTCCGGACGCGCAGGCCCAGCGGCCATGGCTCACGGGCTCAGCTGCTCCGCGGCATGTGGGATTTTCCCGGACCGGGGCACGAACCCATGTCCCCCGCATCGGCAGGCGGACTCCCAACCACTGCGCCACCAGGGAAACCCCCATCTGTAAATTTTTTTGGTGAAGTGTCTGTCCAGTTCTTTTGCCTATTCTTTAATTGGGTTATTTTCTTATTGTTTAGTTACAAGCATTCTATTTTCTTGGACACAAGTCCCGTTTCAGATAAATGATTTGAAAATATTTTCTCCTGGTCTGTGGTCTATTTTTACAGTATCCTAGCAGAAGTTTTTAATTTCACAAATGTCTGGTAGAAATATAATGCAAGCCACAAATACTGATCACATATGTCACGTTAAACGTTCCAGTACCCACACAGCATAAAAAAAAAGTGAAATGAATTTGAATCAAATATTTTGTTTAGTCCAGTTTATCTAAAATGTCAATGTGTAATAAGGGTTAAATTATAATAATTTACATTTTAAAAAATTAGGACTTTGAAATTCAATGTGTATTTTATACTTACAGCATATCTCATGCAACATTTCAAGTGCTCAGTAACCACATCTGGCTAGTGGCCACCATATTGGACACTGTAGCACTGAACTCTTTCTCTAGGCAACCTAAGTCATACCCTTGCTGTAAATACCTACAGCAGATGATTCACGAATTATATCTGCAGTCCAGGGCTCTCCATGAACTGCAGACCAGTAACTGCTTACTTAATATTACCACCCTGATGGTGCTCATGCATCTCTAAACATTTCTCTCCACAAGGGTTTCCAATGTATCCTGACAGACCTGTTTTCAAATTCCAATGTTCCCTATATCCATGGGGCCACCCCAATCACATGGTTGTCCAAGCCAGAAATGTATTTTTTCCTTGATAGTGCCTCTGTTCAACCTCCATTTCAATCTTTTGACAACATATGGAGATTTTATTTCCTAAATATTTTATTATTATCTGACTTCTTTTGTCATCTCCACTGCCAACATTTTTGTCCAAGCCCCCATCATCTCTCGCCTGGGTTACTGTCTCTAACTAGACTCACTGCTCCTAATGTTTTCTTTCTAAAATCCACTCTCCACACAACTGACAAAGTAATCTTAGATAAAACAATATTGTCACTAACCATTAACTGAAAGTTAGTATTTCTTTCAGTTTTGACTATAGCAAATAGACCAGTCACATTAGCTATAACTGTGACTTTATTGCCAATGAAAACCATAGTTATAGTCCTAGCACTTAACCAGATATATCAAAATATTGTTTATGCTCATCCCAACCTCAGAATATTATAATTTTGATCTTGCTATTTGAAGCACAAAGAAGCACAAATATTACTGTATCAAACAATATTTGTAAAACTGTTTCAACCTGGTATTGTTTTATTATTAAAATTCATATTTTACTTTATGTACTTAGAAATTTATTTTAAGAAGATGTATATAGGATCAACTAGACTTTCAAAGAAATCCATAATACAATAAAAGCTAAGAGCCCCTGTTTAAGGATTCCAGCAAATACCTTACATATAAAGTAGACTAGAGACAGATGATATAAAAATCAGATGGCAGAATTCCACTAATAATCCAGTTGGGAGCAGATAACTGAATCTTCCTTGGCTGTTAGACTGATTGCTTCATCAGGATGCCAATTCTACAGCCACAGGATACTGGGGTTACTAGGGTATCCCACTCAATTCATGCATGTGTGTCTGCTGGAAACACACATCTTGATTATTATTGTTTTTATCACTGAAACAATTTCTCACATTACTTCTGCTAACCATCAGCCCTCTAGTGTGATTGGAGATGAAGAGCTAAAGAACTTGTAGTGGGTGAAAAGAACTTGTAGGGGGTTAAATGATGACTAACCTTTTCTGGAGAGTGAATTCCTCATTAGAAAAGTCCATTTATTAGTTTCCTAGGGCTGCTGCAACAAGTTACCGAAAACTGGTTGGCGTAAAACAGAAATATATTCTTGCACTGTTTTGGAGGCCAAGAAGTCCAAAACCACAGTGTCAGTAGGGTTGATTCCTTGTGGAGGCGCTGAGGGAGAATCTATTCTATGCCTTACCTGGCTTCTGGCGGCAGCTGGCAATCTTCGGTGTTCCGTGGCTTGCAGCTGCATCACTCCAATCTCTGCCTGCCTCAGTTTTCATGTGGTCCTCTGCTTTGCATCTCTGATGCCCCTCTCCCTTCTCTTATAAGTATACCCTAAATCCAGGATGATCTCATTTCAAGATTCTTAACTACACCCTATTTCCAAACAAGGGTCACATTCATAGGTGCCAGGGGTTAAGACTTGGACATGTCCTTTTTCAGGACACTCAACCTACTACATTTCACAGATCCTAAGGTTTACCTTAACATTGACTCACACAAAATTTACATCACACTATCTGGATAGAAGTATTTTAGAGTAAATTACAGACAATACAAAGCTTTCCTTAGGCACCTTATTATCTCTCTCATTCATAATCAGCTAAAGTGACCTTGTGTGTTTATATCTGCCTCACTAAACTAGAAAGGAAACAGTGAGAGTAAGGACCTCCTCTCTTACACACACAAACACACACACTCTCTTTCTCTCTCTCTCTCTCTACCAGTGAATGTTTGAAGAGTGAAGAAAAAAGAACAATTTTTTAAAACCTTTTTGGAAAACAAAATAAGGAGAAATAACAAAATGCAGCCACTTGTCTATGACCAGCCCTGCACTGAAGAGCTAGCAATGTCCACCTGCCGGAACGATGCAGTAAGGGCTTGGTGTGATCTAGCTTCCTCTGGCCCTGCTCCTTGAGAGGGTTTCCCTTGCCCTGTAGACCTCAGGGACCCATCTGAGATGAGAATAGAAAGTCTCTTTTTTGAGGGCTACACCAGCCCTCTTCTTTTCTGAATTCAGAGGCACTGTGGTGGCTTTTGGGTAATTACAGCATCTGGGTTTCTAAACAGGCCTAGTTGCTCTGCCCTTTTTCCAGCCCTCATCTTACTGGCATCCAT